TACATTCATTAGTACTTAATCTTGCTGAATATGTGCAAAATTTAAATGATATTTTTTCTAATATATTTCGTTTACCAAAATTAAAATATGGCAAAATTACATATCGAATCAGAATCGATCAGGATTTATCAGGTGTTTATTTTAGTAGATTTCATTGTAGTCCAATTGAAACTCTTATTATTAACCCTATCAATCCCGTCATTTTCTTGCGTTCTGCACGAACATGAAAAAAGATAGTTTAATCTCTCTCTTTTGCGTTCAACTATCATAATCATATGTTTTCGAATTCTAGATTCATTATTCGTATCCATACGAAGTGATTTTCATTTGAACGTATCATATGATATTCGTCGTCTAAGAAGACGAAAAAACGCAAAATATTTCTTTTTCGTTCTGCATGTCATCTCGTAGATGCCATGCGGGATTGAAAGGGTTAATGGTCCTTTTCCAAATGATTCATTGAATAATTTATTATATCACTTTCCAAAACTTCATCATTTATCAATTAATTACCTTACTGCTTCTCGTGTCGAAAATAGTGAAACCCATGCTACTTCATTATTAAAACATTTAAAATATGTTTCACTTAAACTTTATTTAATTGCATTTAATAAATTCGAACAAATTGTACAAACATTTTTTGGTGATATTGAAGTTTTACGGATTTCAACACAATATGATACAGCATATTTAGATGCAAAACGATGGGAACATTTAATAACATCTTATTTGCCGAATTTACGTATTTTTGATATACATCATGATGGTGGTGTACAACGTAATCAGTTAACCTATCATGATTTAATTAATCAATTTAGATCATCCTTTTGGATTGAACGAGATTGGTTTTTTGCACATCAACATGATTGGCTTGAACGGTTACACAGTGGAGTTTTTTATTCAACTGAACCATATAGGTAAAAAAAGTTTCTGCTCTTCGTCAGTAAGAATTTCATCAATGAGTTGGCAAGAGTTAAAGATCTACAGGATATCACTAACATGTCCTACACTGTCAGGACAAAATTATGAGAGTCACAGGACAGATTCCAGGCTACGAAAATGTTATGCCCTGCAGGTCTCTAGAAAGAGTCTTCTAGACTTTCACCATTATTAATTGAATCTTAGTAGATTTCCGCAAATTCTCAAAGAACAATATAGGTGCAGTTAATACAAAACTCTTTAGTCAATTTTAAATTACTCTCAAAGCAATAAAAGCTCGGTGGATTTTTGCTAATATTGGCAAATCTTTAGCAAAGATTGACCAGTTGGTGTACATCTAGGCAAGCGTTAACGAGAGTCCACCTAAATTTTGTCAATTGAGGAATGTCCAACGAGTGAATTGACGATAAATGCATGACAGCTCACAGTTTATTGAGTTGGAAGAGCTGACTTTAACTAATTATGACTAGCTCGCTTCTATAAATACGGATTTCACCGATCAACTCCTTTTCATAAAGATGTTTCATAAGCAGCTGTTTTCAAGTGAGCTGGAATGCTTAACCATGGGTGGTTTTGCTATCACTAGGGTATTTATGCATGAGGAGCTAGAAAACTTTTTTCGCCTAGTTCTTCTAAAAGCCACAGTTTGAGTTCAAGTATTCTGTTATAATGCTTAAACAGATTTAGGATTACATGCAAAATTTTAGGCTTCCAAGTCTTCCCCTTTGCTGTATTCTATCATTTCTTCTATGTTTATAAAACATGCCATTTTTCATACGATTATATTCGTATTATATGGGAAGTCATTGCAATTAGCATAAATGAAATGGCAGTATATAGTAAAGAACAAGACTTGAACATCTGATATTTTGCACACAAGCTTAAATATATTTAAGCATTGTAATAGAATATTTGAATTCAAACCAAGATTTTTAGGAGAACTGAATGAAAAAATTTATTTATTCGACTATGTAATTGCATTTGAGTTTATGTAGCCTAAAATAGAGGTGTCATAAATCTAATGTGTAAGATAAATTGAGATTTTTAGTAATATCAACTAATTTAAAAAGAGCGAAACAATATAGTCAACTCCATTAGATGATATAGAGATGTCACATTTCTAGCTGGCGAGAGTCTGATGAGTGAAAATCTTATTGACAAAGTTCTGGTAATCTGTAGAAATGAATTAGCATTAACTTGATTTTTTTTTCTAGACGAAAAGATTTTACATTTTATTAGCAATTAGATAAACAAATTTGTCAATCTGCTCAAGAAACAAATTTAAATTCAGTTAAACATGTATATATTTGTAGTACAAAAACAAATAAGAATCCAGCCAATTATTTTCCAAATGCTACGGAATTAACAATTGAACATTGTCTTGAAAAACTTGATGATTTATTGGTACAAACACTAAATAGTATTGTTCCCGTACGTCAACTTATCAAATTAATTATTAAACATTTTCATATTAAATTTGATCAATTTCTTAATGTATTATATTTGACACCACATTTACATACATTTAAAAGTGATTTTTTTATCTCTTGATAATATTGATCCAAGTGCAATTAGAAAAACTGATACTTTTCGACATGTATTACATACAAATAGAATTAAAACTTTCGAACTTCGTCATGAATGTACATTAGAAGATATTCAATTGATTGTTGATTTATTTCGTCAATTGAATTATTTAAATATTGAAATGAAAAGCAAAGAAATTGAACCAATAGTTCAACATGTATTATTAAACAGATGCTCTAAGACACATCATTTGTTTTTTTAATGTGTTTTTGACATATCTGTAATGTATTTAAAGCGATTAACTGTAATAATTGAAGAAAAAAATCTACTTGATGATTATTTGATAAAATTTGTAAATCGTGATATGTATTTGTGGTGCTAGAGATCGAATTGTTTGGGTTATTTTTTTTTTCTTCTATAAAATTAATAATTATTTTTCAATAAACAAGAGAATTAAAGTTGATTATATGTTGACTCTTTTATTTGACTTAGGAAATAAATATAAGAAGTTTAAAGTAACGTGTCGGTATTAACAGATAAAGTTCAATTTGATATTTTCTCGTGTTGTCTCAAGTAAGATCTTAATTTTACTGAATTCCAGAAGTTCAAATCAGCATATCTTCATTTAAAAAACGTTTGTTTCTTTCGATATTGGAAACTACGATGTTTTATTCGATTTAATTATTTCAGAATTATTTAATAACACTATAAAAGATTCACAATCAGGCAACAATACTAGATTTATTTCGAAAAAAAAATGTTGTCATTTGAACACCGTGGATAAATATAGTTATTTTTCCTTCTCAGGTTTCATGTGTATGGTAGCATGTAAAAAATGTAGTGTCATGTAATCTCTCTCTGGGAAAACTAATCAATATAGGTTTCGACGCGAACTTTTGTAAAAATATTTTGTCATATGCGTGGAAAATTTTACAAGCACTTGTTCGTGTGTAAATTTCCTTCTGAGTCCTTTTTTTTCTCTTTTTAAGGTTCATCCTGCTGTTCCGGATTAATGAAAGGTGTCTATCAGTAGATAGAACATAAATATTAACTGGTTCATCGGAGAAAAATTTTGGTTGAAGTTATATAGAAGGACTATAATGAATTTCTTTTGAATGACAGCTTCATCTGATAAGCAAGACTTCAAAATGAGATGTGAAAAAGCTCGTAGATTGTAAATCTATCGTAGAGAATGCCGTGATACTTATAAAAAACACTATTTTATCTATTATGCAATATGTTCCAAGGTTTGTAGGTCATTGGCAATTCCATACTAAGCTTAACCCAGCTTTTAAACGGAACGTTCGTTGACAACTACTCCCAATATTGCCTACTACCTATCTATTTGTAAAAAGAAACGATAAATTCTAATTATATTTTGATAACGTTACCACTATACACTGTTGAACTGGCCCAGCTACGCAGCACTAATCATGTCCCAACTCATATAAGCCATCTTAGCTTGATTTATCAGAAGCTCCCGAACGCAAAGTGTGGGTTTGGGTGCGGGGGTGGGTGTGGGTGTGGGTGTCCGTTAAGATGAGATGGACCCACACCCACACCCACACCCTGCAGCCCTTTCACCGGGTAGGCCAAGAGTATTCCCCTACACTTGTAATTTAAGGCCGAAAGGATCCCCCAATAGTAGCACTTGCGGATTCTAGAGTATCCACCCCAGTCGAGAAGTTCGAGCGGATTCCGGGAGGAAAACACCGAAAGTGGCCGGAACAGGATGGTAGTATTCCGACCGGAAAATTTTTTTGAATTTTCCTCTCGACTTACGGTCAAATTCCTCACGTTTCCTACAGAAAGTTGTACAGAAGTCGCCGGAAAATATGCAAAAATTCTCCGGTCGGAATACTGTCACCTTGTTTCGGCGACTTCGAGTGTTTTCCTGTAGGATACGGTAACTTTTTCTATAGGATTCTACGGGATCTGGTGGCCGGAATCTTCCACCTGTGCACCAATAGTAGAACTTGAGGGCCCTGGGTGTGTGTTTGGTAACGACGAGTGGATGGTTCACTGTTTTCCCCGTTCCCAGGTATCTGGTAACGATCCGTTCCTGTTCCCGGGTGACGGTTTGGAAATAGTTACACGTTACCGAGGTAGTGGTCTGAGAACTGTCACTTCGCACCACTATCTCAAAGTGAAGTCTTGTACTGTGGTACCCTTTTAGTTCTTTATTATTTTAGCCGACAATGTCCTATCTTAATCCGAAAGCGATTCAATAAAAATAAGAACAGCATCACAGGGTCATATTTCGACTGCCAACATCTCGAATATTTACCCGATGACAGTCGCCATCGTCACACTCGGCATCATTGACTCAATTATTACAATTGACCATCGTTCGTAAAACAAAAGTTTGACAATACTTTACCGATTTCGCCATCACTATCGATATTGTCGAATCTTTTAAAACCCATACAACTACAACAAATTCACATAAAAATTTGTACACGTTCGGCTATTGTCGTTTCTTCCATGACTATACAAAAAAATTAATAATGGTCATTATACCTTCCAATATCGTATCAACCATTTATCGATGCACCAGTTAACTACTTAATAATTATTTATTGGTATTACTCGTATTGTTCTCGTCACTTACTTATTTTTTTTCATGCTTCTCAACGAAAGATTCAAACCAATTTCATTCACTCAGTCTATTTTTAGACACAGGTATGTAAAAGTTTTAGTTTCACTCAGCATTTTCCCTGACTTTGTGAGACAGATTTTACCACGATCAGTATTGATTCCGGCAAAATCAAGATAATGATCACTTTCATCAGCAAAAGTAAAATCACAAAGTTTGTGATTTCTTAAGCAGCCTTTTTTTGGGAGGGAAGAATGGTAAACAAATCTTTAATTTTTCGTAATCATGAACTTCGAAAAATGCATGAAATTATGTTGGTATGATTGATTGATCGTGTCTGTGGATATGATAGTTGTAATCGAACAGGGATCATAACCATATCGATACATGAATATCAATCGACTTACATGACATGCGTTTCTGTCCATGTGCTAGGAGCGACCGTCCAGTGGTGTTCGAGCTTCTCTCCGATCATAGACATGATCTTTGTATAGGGTCATCGAGGTTCTGTGATTACATTTCTTCTGTTTAAGTTTTTCCCCTTGAGTATGACAGTGACACATCGAGGCTTTGTAAATAATATTCAGTATAAGACATAGAATAGCATAGTTGTGCGTAAGGTCACTGTGGCTATCCCATCGACTGAGCAGGATCAAGGTATATGTACATAAAAACATGTACAATCTTATGAGGCCTAAGATAATCTTTCTTTTCGAATTTAAACGAATCTTTCACGATGAAAGTATCAAACGATCAATGGCTTCAATCACAACTATCAACAAATGGCAATGCTTTAGTTTTTCATATTGGTTTTAATAATAATCAAATAAATTTCTGTAAACGAAGAGTATTCATATTTATATACAACTATTTCAGTATGCTTTGTTCTCTCGAATATCTAATGTTGTATAAATAGAAAGTGAAAACACATTATAAGCCTATGTTGTGTAAAAGTACAAATTCCAATACTTCTGACACGGTTTATATGCTTTTATAGTGTATGGTTTTGAATCGTCATCTTACATTCTTAATTATTAAAATGATCCTTATTGTTGTACAAAATGATATACGTTACAAAAAAAACAAGAGACCGTTATCAGTAGTCGAGAGTTGGTGATTTCTTTTCAAATTTTATTCAAAACATGTAACTTTCCGTTTCTTTGAGTAATCAAATGAAGAAGGAATAAATGAGAGGACGATCGAGAACCCTAATGGATTTCGTTGTTTCTTATTGTTAGTACCACCGATGAGGCTACGAGAGTCTACTATAAATCATTGTATATTAAAAATAACTCCTACATTACGAGAGACATACTGGCACTTCATTCAATTGGCTGTTTCTATTACAATACTACATAATCCGAGGAAAAGGGATGAAAAGTAGCTCTTCATTTTGAAGACTTCTTTCCTATTATCCTCAAAATAGCAGTTTCATTTAGGACGTAGCCTATTAGACTTATATGGGTCGACATCATCAGCTATAATGAGAAGAATTTCGAATAATAAATATCACTCAATCTACCTAGCCGGTATAGATTTAATCTTATTGATCGTCAATGTTAGGCTTCTCCAGAGAGTATGTTTAAGTTGCCTTTTTGTATTCAGTAGAGAGTTCAGAATGTTTGAAATTAAAGTTAACATGTGCAGAATGCTTACTTCGTCTTTTTCTTTTCAATAAACCCAGTTTTCAAATTCATTTCTATCAATTTTTATACTCATTTTTACTAAATACAATGGTAAAATAAATAAAAAGTGCATGACTTTACAACAGCTAAGCTTATATTTATCAATATTGACATGAATTATTCCGACTTCGGTCCGATAGAAGTTTACCTACACTAAGACTAGTGAAATAGACAACTGAATATTGTTGACAGCTTGAAACTAATGTCACTCGTTTTAACTTTCTTTCCATTGAAAATATTGCTAAAACTTAAACAATGAGTAATTTGAATATCAATCTTTTTTTTTTCGTTCACAAGCAAGAAAAGTATTTACATTCGTAGTATATGCAAATAAATTATTGAAAGCAAACTGTAACTGCTATAAATTAACACTATGCTTCGTATTCATTTCGTAGGAAAATGTTTGTCGAAAAATGAAAGAAACAATGATATACTATTTTGAAAATTGTAATCAAATAAACTAAGCAAAAGTTCCAAATGAACCACGTTGTTACGATGAAGATCTTTCGAGATAGTCTCCTAACAATATGATCTTTTAAAGAAAAACCGTTTACAACAATTGCTCATACAGAAAATGACATACTTTTCTCTTGGTATCCATTTTTATATGGAACTCTTTATGTAAAGCTCAACTAGATCTTCCAATGTCATATAGTTAAATTTACAGGTTACAGTAAAAATGTTCTATAAAACAAATATGTTTTGCTTCGAAAATTGAAATAAAAGACATTGATTCATCGAAT